TGGCGCGAGAAATGGCTAAATTTAAGGCTGATAAGGTTAGAGAGGAGGCAAAAGCTGCGGCTGTTGAAAGAGAATTTCAAGCTAATGAGAGAGAAAGTCACTTAGGCAAGAAAGGGAAAAAATTAGAGAAGAAAGAATGGCTCAACGAGATCGTGACATTATGAACACGTTTTTAGAAGGGAGGTCTCCAAATTCTAAATATTTTTGGAAGTTGGAGAAAGCGGATGTGGTGCGAATTTATTAGGTGATGATGATCCATTCATGAGAGCAAGTGGAGATGGTCCTAGCATGACAAGAGAAGATCATCCTAGCACCACAAATTGGTTAGGTGATGATGATCCATTCACAAGCCCATAATTTTCCAATCACTTTGTTTGTAATCGGAGCCTATAATTTTCCAATCACTTTGGGTTGCAATTTATTATTTATTGAATATGGTACTTTATGTTGTTTCCAATTTATTGAATTTAGTACTTTATTTAAAGTCAGGGTAAGTTTATTTAATTTGGTAATTTATTTATACTAAGAGAATCTTTTTTCAAAGGACATAAACACACCAAATGAAACTACATAAACATACCAAATAATAAAAAAAACTCACTAAATGAACTAAAAAAAACACACCAAATAAAATTAAATAAACACACCAAATAAAAACAAACACAGTAAATGAACTTAAGTATCTTGAGCTTGTTTCAATTGCTACTGGTGCTCTATCAAGTCAATTTGTCGGGCATTGTGCATATATGGCCTTTGAAGTGCAGTATATCGTTGAATGAGTCTTTCATTGTAACGTCCATCCCTTTTCTAATGGCTAGTGTTGCACGGGTTCTTCGGTGGTGTCATGAGCACAATATATTTGTGTTCTGGAATTGTTCATCGTGTCTGGCTCATATTCATCAACGGCATCATAATCATACTCATCTTCCACAATCATGTTGTGAAGAATGATGCACGTCATCATGATGGATCGAAGCGACTCTAAATCAAACATTCTAGCAACACCCCTGACAATCGCCCAGCAAGCTTGGAAGATACCAAAATAATGCTCCACATCCTTCATGCACCTTTCTTGACAGCTTGCAAAGTGTTTTTCCTTTGCACTTCGCTGACGTGGCACTGTTTTGACAAACGATGACCACCTTGGGTAAATGTCGTCTGCTAGGTAATATGGCCTGTCGTACTTATGTCCGTTGACCCAGTACGTGACTTTTGGTGTTTTTCCTTGCAGGACATCATTGAACACTAGGGATTAGGTAAGGACATTGAGGTCATTTTGAGCTCCAGGAACCCCGAAAAAGGCGTACCAAATCCATATATCAAAAGATGCCACCGCCTCTAAAATGATACTTTTTGCTCATTTTCTGTCCCTATAAACGCCTTGCCATGCACTTGGACAATTTTTCCAGGTCCAATGTATACAGTCGATGCTTCCAATCATCTTAGGAAAACCTCGCATCTGGCCCTTCTTCAGAAGCCTTTGCAAGTCCATCTCAGTAAGTCTTCGGAGGTACTCTGCGATGTAGATAGATTCGATTGCTTCGCAAAACTTCATCAGGGACTCAAGAATGGTTGATTTCCCCATCCTAGCTATCTCATCCACTTGGTCTGCAGATGCTTCATATGCAAGCATATGCAAGGCAACAATAATTTTTTGCTCAAGAATGAGACTCATAACACCAAAAACATCATTATTATGTACAAAGTAAGAATCATGGTTGCAAATAGCAATCATGATTTTGTTGAACAAATGTCGTTTCATTCTATAATGACGTCTAAAGTACGTATCAGGTAATGCACTGTTACAGACAAAATAATCGTCCAAGAGTTCCGTACCTTGTCGTTGCCTGCTTCTATCTAGGTTTGCGGAACGACTAGGCATGCAGATCTAAGCCACAACTTGGATAACTCGAAGGGAATGTGAGGCTCTGGCCATTATTGCTTCTTTATCTCTCATTCTACCCTCCTCATCATCTTTCATCTCATTTTGGGCCAAATGGAGATTGAACATTCCTTCTGATTGGTAAACAATTTTTCCTCTTACTGATCGATTTCCCACATCATCCTTGAAGAAGAAGACATTGTAAGAAGGAAGCAGAAACTATGAATAATGATACAGATTTTGATTTTGGTGAAGAAGGAAGCAGAAACTATAAATAATGATAGAGATCTTAAGAAATTGGTGTGAGATTTCTGAGGATGGATGGTGGATTATATGAAGGATTAAGAAAGGATTAGGTTGTAGATAATGTCATGTGGCATGTCGTCATTCGTTAAAAATCTGATTGAAATCTATCATCAAAGATTGTAAACAGATTGTGACACGTGACGCGACGTGATTAGTTAAAAATCTTATTGGAAATCTATCCTTAACGATTCTGAAAAGGTAACAACACGTGGCACGACGTCATTGGATAAAAATCTTATCGAAATCCATCACCAATAATTGTCTTTTCGGATAATGACACGTGGCGCAAAGAGAACGATTAAAAATCTTATCTGAAATTACAAATTAAATTATTTTGTATTATTTTATAAATAAAAAAATACCAATATTTTATTGTCTATTACCAGGGCTATTCAATGTAGGGATGAAGATGCAAAAGGCAGTTACTGTTCACTGGGTGGATTAAATAGTGAATAGCCCAGGGGACCTTAGCAATGCTGGAACTGCTTTAATTGCAAGCTTTAGTAAGCTAAGTAGAAATTGAGCTAATTATAAACTACAATTGTGACTTGTGTCCAAAATTAAGAAGATTCTCACAAGTTATTAAATTAAGGGAGACTTTGAATGCGGTCCTTAGAGCATCTCCAGTGGAGTCTTTAAATAGGGACAACCACCGTATAAAATGGGTATAAAACAAATATAAGGACAAATGAATCTCTACTAGATCGGAAAGTGAGTCCCTAAAGTGTAGGGACTCACTAGATACATAGTGTATGTCCTCACATATAAGGATTGTATGAATGAGGATCCTCTCTGGATCCTCTTTGTGATGATCCTCTCTGGATCCTCCTTGTGAGGATCCTGGGAATCTTCCAATCGTGTCCGTTTATCGTACATTGTGCGTTCATAAATCATTGTAAGATTTTTTTATTTAAAATTGAATATAAACAGTACCTGACGAAAACTGATCCCACGGTGTACAATAAACGGACATGATTGAAGGATCCTCAGGATCCTCACAAAGAGGATCTGGAAAGGATCCTCACAAAAAGGATTTGTCATAGGGATGACCTTGAGTGGAAAACCGAGTCCACAATCTTGATTGAAGCTTTTAATGCTTTTAATTAATTAAAAAAAAGGTTAACATGAACAAAAAAATGGGTGCATTTGTGCTCACCACCATAAACTATGGTCTATCCTCACCATACATCTCATCATTTGACATGTGTCCTTTCACTTAACCATAGTTATTTTTTTTTTCAAAATTGGAAAAAGAACATTTAATGTTAAAATTAATGAAAGTTAGTTGAAATGATATGTGTCAGATTATGACGATGAGGTGTATGGTGATCATACACCAAAGTTATGGTGGCGAGCAAAAATGAAAAATGTGCACCTTGAATAGAAAGCGAGGCTTACAATCTTGATTGAAGAATTTAATGCTTTTAGTGCTTTTAATTAAAGGAAAACTAATGAAAATGACTTAAAAACTTGAAGTTTTAATCAAAAGTACAAAAATGTGTTGTAAATGAATAGTACCATGAGTGATTTTTTAAAGTAAAATTGTCATTTTTCATTAAAGTGAACAGTATTATGAGTGTTTCGTTAAAACTCTCTTTAATTAATTAACAAAAATGTTAATATAAACAAAAAATGTGCACCTAATCAAATTATCAGATAAAATCATAAAAACTTCAAATTTAGGGATTGTACTATAAAGACTCTCCCATTAAAGGTAATATTTCCTTTAGGGACACAAAGATCCCCTTAAAGTGTTTAAATGAGTACTCAAAGGTGGTGGTGGGAGTCCTTAAATAAAAACTTCCATTGAAGATGTTCTTCGCGACGGAAAAGGATTCGGCAAGGATCCTTTTCCTAGGGATCCTATGGATCCCGTGATCGTGACCGTTTATCGTATATCGTGCTGTCAGTTTTCGTTAGGTACTATTTATATTTAATATTAAATTTTAAAATTTGAAATGATTTCTGACCACACGATATATAATAAACGGTTACGATCACGAAATCCTTGTTCCCTAAGTAAAGGATCCCACGAGGATCCTTTTCCCTTAGCAAGCAATCTCATTTGACTGGACCTTGTTACTTTTAAGTTGTTTATCAAAATCCTTTGACTGACTGAACCTTGTACTCAAAAACAAAAAAAAAAAATCCTTTGACTTTATACACCTCAGCCATTAGTCATTTCATGTATTTATTCTTTTTTTTTTTTCCCAAACTTTTGTTAAATGTATTTCCACGATAACTCTTATATGGAATTTACAAATTATAAAATTTAAAACTCCCCATTATATGGTTTAAAATGCACATTTTGTGGGATATAAAAATGCAAACCTCTATAACCTTAGAATTTCAGCCTTGCAATCAAGCCACGGACATCGGCCTGCTGAAAATTCTGGCCCATTGTTTTACCTTCTTCCTCTGGTGAAAATTCATCACTCTAATTTATAGATTTCATGCAACAGCTAACTATATCAAATGATCTTGAGGGTACATGTGTCACACTCTTGTTACAATCGGTAGTTAGGAGATTAATAACTCATTAAGTTTCCTAACTTCTATAAAAGCTGTAGTGATAACAGTTGCAACAGTGGAAATTTATTACAAATTACAGTAGTATAGCTAATTATACACTGACTTAATATTCATGCATAATAAATTAAATTAGTTGGCATAATAAATTAAATTAAGTATCTGTTTATCATATTTATTACATATGGTTCCAACTGCATGCAATGAAAAAATAAAGGAGGTGGAATACAGATTATCATCAACTATAAATTAATCCGTCATATGAACTAACTTAATTAGATAACTGGGAAATTAAGAATAATGTGGAGGCTGAAGATTGGGGAGGGTGCAGATGACCCATATCTGTTTAGCACAAACAACTTTCTGGGGAGGCAGACATGGGAGTTTGATCCTCATGCAGGTACTCTTCAAGAGCGAGCTGAGGTTGAAGAGGCTCGCCAAAATTACCGCAAAAACCGATTTCAGGTCAAGCCTAGTAGGGACCTCCTCTGGAAAATGCAGGTACGTACTTACGTCGACGTACTATTGGAATCATGCATGATGTGAAAGGGTAAGCTTAGCTCGATTCTTTTTAATGTAACAAAAAGAAAAAAAGAAAAAACGCTCCTTATCGAAAAAAGGAAAACACTACTATTTTTCGTTGGTTCATTTCTTTATAATTTAGTTTTTTCATAGGTTTTTTGTTCTACGTTCGTAATTTTGGATGAGAACGTCTTGAGTTCAAACCTCAGACCAATTGCAATATATATGTTGCAAACTTATTTTTCTGTGTATCGAGCAAACGAAAATATGATGTTTACACAATGGTGCAGATCTAAAGACTTTACCTTAATTGCAAGCTTTAGTAAGCTGAGTAGAAATAGAGTAAATTATAGACACTACAATTGTGACTTGTGTCCCAAATTAACAAGATTCTTGCTAATTTTTAAATTAATGCAGTTTTTAAAAGAGAAAAATTTCAAACAAACGATTCCTGCAGTGAAGATCAAGGAGGGCGAGGAAATGACACATGAAACTGCAACAGCTGCAATGAAGAGGGCTGTCCATTTCATTTCAGCCTTGCAATCAAGCCACGGACATTGGCCTGCTGAAAATTCTGGCCCATTGTTTTACCTTCTTCCTCTGGTGAAAATTCATCACTCTAATTTTTTAGATTTCATGCAACAGCTAACTATTACTAAATATATTTTCTTCTATTTTATAGGTCATGTGTCTGTATATTACTGGTCATCTTAATGTTGTATTCTCTATGGAACATCGCAAAGAAATTAAGCGTTACATATACAATCATCAGGTGCGAATATGTACAAATTATGTCATCGTACGTATGCCTTGTATAACTAGCTTGTGTTTGTTTTCCCTCCTTTTATATTGGCAGAGGTGGGGAATAACTTATGCCATGTTATTAATCAGTGCAGGGTGAACTATCAATTTACTCTACAATTATTACTTGAGTGAAAATTAGGTCATTAAACTATTTTTTTTTTTGGAAAAATCAGTCCTTAAACTTATAAAATCCACCAATTACATCTCTAATATTAAATTCAAAGTTATTCTATTCAATTTTTTGTCAATTTAAGTCGCATGACTTGCATGTGATACACTTTAGAGAGTAGATTAGTAGTTTTCATAGTTTAAAGACTTATTTTCGAAGAAATAGTGTATGAAGTTAACTTTGAATGGTAGATTATTAAACGTTAGATTCACGACCTATATGCAACATTAAGGGCTTATAGGCAAGAAAATGGCGGCAATATAATTTAAAATGTGTCATGTGACTTAAGTTGACAAACAATTGGATAAAATAACTTTGAGTAAAATATTAGGGATGCAATTACCAATTTTTAATGAATTTAGGGACCTAATTTTCACTTGAGGTGATAATTTATGGACTAAATCGGCAGTTCACCCATCAATCTAAACTCCTTTTATAATTATTAAGATTTTATGCTAATTAAAATTTTGTGTTTGTGTGTTTGTAGAACAAAGATGGTGGGTGGGGATTACACATAGAGAGCCCCAGCAACATGTTTTGTACGGCTTACAACTATGTGAGTTTGCGGCTGCTTGGAGAAGGACCAGATGGAGGTGAAGACAATGCCATGGCTAGCGGAAGAAAGTGGATTTTTGACCATGGGGGTGTAACCAATATACCTTCTTGGGGAAAGACTTGGCTTTCGGTACTGTGACCTTTTTCCAGCGCCCGTGCGAAAGCACACGGATATATATGCATGCGTCTGTATAACTTTTGAAGTGAGCCAATTTCTTCTTATGTAGGTACTTGGTGTTTATGACTGGTCTGGATGCAACCCAGTACCTCCGGAGTATTGGATGCTTCCTTCTTTTCTACCCATACATCCAGGTTTGCAAAATTTAAGTTCTACTTATTTCTTCGATTGGAAAATAACAAATTTGTATGAACAACTTTCGAAGATATCCGTCCCACTGACGAATTGTTGCACAAGGGATATGACGGTTGTGTTAATAACGTTCATGTTCTTCTGGAAGACTGACAAAGTAATTCTAATAGACACCGATGGTTACACTAACTTTTCATATTCCAACTGATATGACAATATACTTCGTCATTTATTGGTAATTCAGCCTAAATACCTCATTTTTTTGGAAAGAGGATCCTTTCCGGATCCACTTTGGGGGGATCCCTAGTATCTTAACCGTTCATCGTAAATCGTGTAGTCAGTTATTGTCAGTTACTATTTGTGTTTAATTTTAAATAAAAATAGTCAAGTAATTTCTGACCGCACGATGCACGATGAATGACTAAGATGTGAAGATCCTAAGGATCTCACAATTTGGATCCGGATGGGATCCAAATCCTTTATTTTGAAAACAAACTGCCATATGATGTAACTAGAAGCCTAGAAATATTACTGCTCAGATATATTTGGCTTCTTCCTTGTTTTTTTTTGTCTTCTCGAATTTTACTTAGATTACACCCTAACAACTTTATTTTTTTTTGAAAAACCTAACCACTTTCCTTATATATGTATATTGCAGCGAAATTATTGTGCTTCTGTCGCGTTACGTATATGCCTCTATCATATTTGTATGGGAAAAAATTCGTCGGCCCCATAACCCCTCTCATTTTACAGTTGAGACAAGAACTCCACATTCAACCGTACCACAAAATTAAGTGGAGTGAAGCGCGTCATTTATGTGCACAGGTGATTGACTTATAAAGAAGATTACTCTATTGTTTACAGTTCATATTTACCATTCGTATTAGAATTCCCTGAACTGAAATGGGATTGGTAAATTATCTTATCTGTATGAAATGAAGGAGGATATGCACTATCCCAACCCTTGGATACAAGATCTGGTGTGGGATTGCATGTACATGTTTACGGAGCCTCTTCTGACCCACTGGCCCTTCAACAAGTTGAGAGAGAAAGCTCTTCAAAAAAGTATCAAACACGTGCATTATGAAGACGAGAGCAGTCGGTACATGACCATTGCATGTGTAACGAAGGTATTACAAATACTAGGTGAATTAATGGAATTCACAAGCATAAAAAATTTGTATGCGTAATATTTCTTCTAACTCTTTGGTGTATCATGCCACTTGATTTGCAAAGGCATTGGTCATGCTTGCTTGTTGGATTGAAGACCCCGAAGGCGATTCGTTTAGAAAGCATCTTGCACGGATCCCAGATTACCTGTGGGTTTCAGAAGATGGAATGAAAATACAGGTTATAACTACTTTAATTACCACATGTATGTTTATACATGCTCAAAAAGAAACAGGGAAAATAAAAAAGCAATTTTGGAATATTTTCAAAGTAGTAATAACAAAGAGTTTTGTGCCAGGCGTCATTATTGTTTGCATTTTCTACATTAATTTATTAAGACAGACGGGTGCCACAATTATAAAGGTGAAACGAAGATACAAATATCGACAATATATCACATCCTGAATATTGATACTCGATACTGAATAGGTATGCAAGTACGAGAAGTTTCAACTGAGGATGTTAATTACCATATATCTTAAACGTAAATATCTTCAGTGGAAGCTGATATTATCAAGAAAAAGAAGGAATATAAAAGGATGTTAACTTTGCACCTATATATATAAATATATTTTTGAAGTACAGTATGGCTCTCCAATAGATGCGGCTCTGAGTTTGGATCATTTGCCATCCAATTATGCAGAGTGTGGGTAGTCAATCCTGGGATGTTGCTTTTGTCATTCAAGCTTTGCTTGCTAGCAACCTCATTGCTGAAATTGGACCAACACTTATGAAAGGACACGACTTCATAAAGAAATCCCAGGTTTCCATGTTATATTATATATATGTATATGTTTCTAACTTTTCAGTGTAAGCTTCTGCTTACTTGTTTCCAACTTTCATGTATCCCACACACAACTTGGAATTAGGTCAGGGATAATCCTCCAGGTGACTTTAAAAAAATGTTCCGCCGCATTTCCAAAGGATCATGGACTTTTGTTGATCAAGATAATGGATGGTCCGTTTCTGATTGCACTTCAGAAAATATGACGGTAAGCAAGCTAATTTTGGTGCACAGATGCTTCTAATAATAGGATATTGTTTACGTTGGATTTTGATAACTCGCACAAACAACCAAACAACCAAAACGCCACACACAAAAGCAAACGCATGCCAAAACCCCAAGAATTATAGTGGTTCGGTGAATCGTGCCTACGTCCACTCCGGTGTTAGCTGATGTATCTCACCAGACTAGCCTGAAAAGCCTATTTGAAAAATACATGCTTTACAGGTTACTACTCGATTATGTGGTTTACTCTGTATGATAGTCTCTTGTATTTGACAGTGTTGCCTACTGTTCTCAATGATGCCATCAGAAATTGTTGGTGATAAAATAGAAGACGATCGTTTGTATGATGGTGTCAATCTCATACTCTCTATGCAGGTGATGATACTCCAAATATAAATTTACCTTATCTTTCATATGCTAAGATAATAGAATGAGAAATGTTGTATTAAAGTCTCTCCTTTTTTCTGGAACTTTGGCTTTATTAGGTTCCATTAATTTCAAATTTTCAAGAACAAAAATAAATGGTTCGATTAACTAATCACATATGCAGAGTAAAAATGGCGGTGTATCAGCATGGGAGCCAGCAGGATCTCCATCATGGTTGGAGGTATATGTAACTACTACATATATATAATTAAATTTTGTGCAGCATATATATAATGAGATTCTCTCTTTTGTTCCCATTCTAGTTGCTTAATCCTGTGGAATTTCTCGATGACATGGTCGTTGAGCATGAGTAAGATCCCGAATTTTTCTTCATCAATTTGTTTTCTATTCATATTCTAGGGTCCTAAAACAATTAAACTAACTATATAATGATCTAGGTATATTGAGTGCACCTCCTCTGCGATACAAACTCTAGTTTTGTTTAAAAAGTTACATCCTGAGTATCGGAAGAAAGAGATAGAAAAGTTTATTGTTAGTGCCGTACAATTTGTTGAAGACGCACAAAACCCCGATGGCTCATGGTAGGCTCTCCGTGGTTTTGAAAAAAAATTGTTCCAAGCATTTCTTTGAAATTTATATTTATGAAACTATATATTTAGAGTAATGATTTATGCGTTAACTATACATTGGCAATCAATACATGTACAGGTATGGAAGTTGGGGAGTTTGCTTCACATATGGTACATGGTTTGCGCTTAAAGGTTTAGCTGCTGCTGGAAAAACTTATTACAACTGTCCGGCTATGCGCAACGGGGTTAATTTTCTACTGGCAACCCAAGGAGATGACGGTGGATGGGGAGAGAGTTACCTTTCATGTCAACGCAAGGTAAATTCTTTATCTACGAATCAGGTAGGTTAACTAAGCCTCTGTAAGTCATTCATTGATATATACAAACCCTTATGCTGAACTGCCCTAGCTAGTGCAAAGAGACCTTGCCTTCTTGTCAAAAACCAGGAAATGCTATTTATACTCTCTAAATAGCAAATTGTGGTTTATATATGCAGAAAATTATACCACTTGAAGGAAGAAGATCACACTTGGTACAAACTGCTTGGGCTTTGATGGGTTTAATTCATGCTCAGCAGGTGAGTTAATGATGTAAATAAGAACTCATAAAAGAATAATACTAGGCAGACTAAATTTGCAAACTAAATAATGTATCACCAATAAAAAATAAGCACGTTAATCAATACTTCAGTAGTAATCTAATCTCAACTTCCATGCATTTAGTTTACAAAATTTATTCTACACATTTAGTATCTCTAGCATTACCCCTCATAAAATACTATTTTATTAACTAAATATATACTGGAAACGTTTACAAGACAGTAATTTGCATTAATTTTTATGTTGGGGTTTATATTTTGGTGTTTCATGTCTTAAGGGTTTTCAGAGTTAGATATTTATAAATATCCTTGTAGCTTGCGGCTTCAAATCTTCTGTAACTGCTATTTGTCCCAAAAAATGCCCACCTCTAATATCTTACTCAACACCCACTTAACCCCAAAACTTAACGCTTTTATCTACTATTAGAGGTAGGCATTTTTTGGTACAAATAATTGGTACATAAGATTTGAAGCCGTAGCGTAGTAGAAGATCATTAATTCTTGACAAAATGTAGTTCTTTCTTTATGTAGCCCTCTTGGCAATTTGGATTCTTCTTATTTATTTTAGCCGATGGATTAAGAACCAGAGTTTGTAATAAGTTTCTTTTCCCTCATACTTTGATTTGTTAATAACATTTCATTCATCCAGGATTCTAACTTCTTTGAAAACAAAAAATCTTGTAGGCAGAAAGAGACCCTACTCCTCTCCACCGTGCTGCAAAGCTGTTAATCAATTCTCAGATGGAGGATGGTGGATTCCCTCAACAGGTTGCGTACCGCTTTCTACACCTAGTTTTCAGAAGAAAGTTAAATAAACAAAAAAAAAAAAAACCCTAATATTGAATACTGATGCTTAATTTAGCTTCCATTAATTTCTTTTCAGAAAATGACTTCCTCTGTATGCATTATGCAATCAGAAATTGGGAGAAGAGGAACAATATCATCCCTACAGAACATAGAATTAACCTTTTAATTAACTTCGATTTTCATGTTCGCAGGAAATGACAGGTACTTTCTTTAAGGGCGGCATGTTGCACTATTCAGCATACTGCAATACTTTCCCCTTAATGGCTCTTGCAGAATACTGCATGCATATTCCTCTGCCGTCCGAAGGCGTTTAGTACAACCCAGAATCAATAAATCATGACTGATATAACGAAGCAAATAAACGTTAAAAACAGTCTGCATGATGCTTGAGTGTGTAACAGTTTGATAAGGGTAATCCTTTCTACCTGCGTGCTTCTTTGATCTCATGACGGCTATTCCGGTGCTGGTCTTTGGAGGATGATGTGACCTTTGTCCTCACCAATTCTAGGTTTCTTGATGGTTTGATCTCAGGTGATAGTGGAGGGTGGTCAATCGTGACTGTTTTGTGCTAGGCTCCAAGGTTGGTCTTGGGCCTTTGTCTTCTGTGTGTTGTGGCCTCTTTTCTTTTGCTGTGTTGATATGATTTTGTGCCTTTGTTGTACTTCTCTTGTAGGTAATGAATTTTACCATTTGACCCAAAAATAAAAACATTGGATAATTTGAGCTGAGTAGCTACCTTAATGTGTGATTTCGTTTTGTTGGATTATTGTTTGTCTTGCACTGTCAACGAGGTTTGGTTTTAGAGAACTTTAACGAAAAACTCCTGGTATTATTTAATTTAACGAAAAACCACATTTTTCCACTAAAAAGTCAATCATAGTATTATTCACTTTACCCTTTATTTTGTTCTTATCGTTAAAACTCAAAGTTTTTCAAGTCATTTTCATTAGTTTTCATTTGGTTTTATGTCCATCCTTTAGAAATAAAAAAATAAAAAAAACTGCTCAAAGATTGCATCCTTTGCTTGCTGAGTTTTAGGGCTATTCAAGTTGAAATTCGTCCGATTTCTGACTTTGTTATAAGTTTCTGATTTATTAAGACTAGCTAATAGTGAGAAATAAAAATAATATCGCGATAGTGAATTGGTTGAGAAATTTTGAAATAGTAGAGTTTAATAAAAGATCTTCAGAAATTATTGTTTCTGCATAATGAAGAACTATTTCTCATTGCTCAAACAATTTTGAACTAGCCGAGAAAGAAACAAGGGCTCCACATCATTAATTCTTTGGTATTCTTTATATGGTTTCTATTTCCTTGCTGTTGAAGTAACATAATGTTTTAATTAGGGGTTGTGGATAGTCCACACATCCATCTCAATTTTCAATCGTCGAATCGAATGAATTGAAGAAGATCAATGACAAAAAAACTAACAAGGGTGTGTGAAAATTGACCCACTCTCCTTAAGTAGGGTTTTTATCACAAATTACTGGTCCTGGAAATTGACCCACACCTTCAAGATAGTCCTTAAAATTGAAAATTGATTAATGTAGCTACTGAAAATAGGTGTCACAAATCAATGTGGTCCTTCTATCACAATTCCATAAAAAATTCTGACCGACACCTATTCAAGGACTATATTGATCGATTTTTAATTTTAGAGATCATCTTGATATTGTCGATGAATTTCAGAGACTATTTGTAATAACAATTTGTTTTAATTAATTAGTTTTATAGTACTATTTTATGTTGGTCACTTTTGACTACTTTAAGCCGCCAGGTCACTGTCCAAACACATTTGATCCAAAAGATCAATTCCTATCCTTATTTGAGAATTAATTTGTTAAATTTGATTTGGATATGTATCTTAATTATGATTAGGGAACTGCTTCTGCTTGTCTTTATCCATTTAGAATTGTAATTGTTATACTTCTCTGTTTACAAGTGAAGAAACTGGTGCTAATGCTATTGCCCTTTGAGAATTATAATGATCATCCTCTTGTACATTACTATAAATTTGGGTACTATTGATAAATATCTCAGGATATATCTCCTTGTCTTTTCCTCAGTCACGACGTGGACGCCTGATAGCTCAGTACGTGATGAGTGATAATTAGAAATTTTTGTTTTTTTCTTCTTTGAAAAGGGAGAAAATTGGTGACAAGTCACAATTATTCATTCTTTTTGAGTTCGAATAAACTATATGGAATTTCACCATGCCTATAGCTACAGTCAAGCAGACTCACAAATTTGAAGCATTGAACTCGGGACCTTCCATATATTTTTTGTTTATTAGAAAATCGTAGTCCACACCCTTACTACTTGGCCACTTGTTGTAGTTAGAAATTAGAAAGTTTTGAAACAACAAAAGAAAGTCAAAATGTCCAAACATGTGATGTTACTTTTAGGGAAAGGGATCCTCTCTGGATCCCTTCCTCCAAATCCTAAGAATCTACTAATCCGGGCATTGAAATTTGATCTAATGGCTACAAACAGGGGTCTACTTTAAAAGTTAGGGTAAATTACACAGAACTACCTTAATTATTGGATCATTAACAGTTTCATACCTCGTCTTTAAAAAGTTTCAATGTCATACCGTATTTACAAATTTGTTGCAATGTCATACATTTCGTCAGTTTGTCTGTTAATTCTCTGTTAAATGCTGATGTGTCTTGAAGCAGGGTCTACTCTTTATTAAAAAAATTTAAAAAAATTAAATATAATTATTATTTTTAATTCTCAATAAAATAATTTTTTTTTAAATGGGGGACCCACCAATCCACCCGTGTCCTCCCCCGCCCCCAAACAACCTTCCTTCACCACCCCATTGTCGTCTTCTCTTCCCCATATCCATGCCGACAAGGAACACCACATCAACAATCCACCCAAATAGTCCCTTAAACCCACTAATCCATCCAAACAATCCCTTAAACCACACCATCGCCTCCCTTAACCTGCAGCTCACCTCCACCAGCACACCTGGGTCCCGAGAATGCGTCACCGCCTGCACAATCGCCTTTGCTCGCTTCGCCAGGTCGCCGCTTTTGAACATGCTCGACCCCATAAACAGCTCGTCTGGGTTTAGGTCGACGTCGCCGTTTCACGCGTCTGGATGCAGATTGATGGAGGGAAGGAGGATCTATGGGTAAGATGGAAGGAGGTAGAGATGGAGGAAGAGAGGGCAACGATGAGGTGGTGAAGGAAGGTTAGGGGTATAGAGGGGGACACAATTGGATGGGGAAGAACAGAAGAAGAGGAGAAGGAGGTGGTGGGCCTTTGGGGGGGGGGAGATGTTGGCGTGGGTGGAGAAGGGGTCGAGGTTTGCAGGGAAGGGATTTGGGCTTTGGGTGGGATAAGGGTGGCGGGGTAAGAAAGGGTGAGGGAAGCGGTGGGTCCCCATGCCAAAAAAAATGATTTTATTTTTTTCAAATTTTTAATATTTAATTAATTAATTTTTTAATATAAAATGGGTTCCGTCACTTGCCACGTCAGCATTTTAATGGAGGAATTGACAGACAACTGACGGAAGGTATGAAATTGTAACAAATTCGTAGATGAGGTATGACATTGAAACTTTTTAAAGGCGAGGTATGAAACTGTTAATGACCAATAGTTGAGATAGTTATGTGTAATTTACCCTAAAAGTTATAATAACTTTAGTTGTTGGATCAATTTCAATGGTCTAGATTGGTGGATCTCTAGGATTAGGAGGAAAGAATTCGAATAGGATCCTCTCGTACTTTTAGTACCTAAATAGTAGTTATCAGTATGGGACAGGGCCGTCCTAGGAATCGAGGCCACGTGCACCACTTGCGTTTAAAGAGCAAGTTATTGATGTAAAAGAATCTAGTAATAGTAACCAGCTATCCAAAGCTAGTTAGTTTGTTAGGAATGCTACCACTGTAATTATTTTACTTTCCTTCGGTGACTTTCATGTAAGTGTACGTATAAATATTTCTGTGTAACTTATCATTATTCAATAAAATGATAAATCATTTCTCAATAGCATTGCGTACCTTCAGAGCTGGCCTTAAGTAAGGACTAAGTAGTTATCATAGCTTTTTAGATCTCAAGTTTTGTGTGACTTGTGTCTCACAAAGTATCAATGGACGTATATGTGCTACATCGATAAGTTCGGATGATAGTTGGTGACTCTATTATTAATGTGTTTTTAACATGTTACAATCCACTGTTTCTTCGTAGCTGAATATGTATTGATTGTTCGTCTACACAAGCATGTGTAAATTGTTGGAGAACAATTTAGAAATAATAAAACAACAGAAATATAGAACCGAAATACTTATATTTTATTATTCAAAAATATTTGCAATATAGAATGCAATTACACAATAATTACAAAAAATTAAAATGATACTAACTTGAATGAGTTCTACAACGTCTGCTCGACCAGGATACAACTACCTAATTCTACAACCTACACTAGATTATAGAACTCTAGCGAATTGCTTTGTGTGCTTACTCTCTGGAAATTTTGTACGGAAGACAAGGAGGAAGAAAAGATGATCTCACTTAAATCTAATTAATTTTAAATTCCAAGGCCCAAGGCCCTTGTATTGATTAATTAATATTAATTGTATTTAGGCTATATTATATTCAAACCTAATCCACACAACCATAAGGCTTCATCCTTCAATCCATTTCCAAATGGTCCAACTTCTAATTACAAAGAAGAATGAATAAGCCTATATAAAGGCTAGTAAAAAAATACTGTTGCCCAATTTAGGACAAGAGGGTCTCAAACTCCTACGTAAATAACGTGTTGGCTTATACAATTACTATGTGGTAGTGTCTATCTTGATAAACTTCCATTGCTTTAGCGTGACAACATTTGCTCTTGTTTACGACCATATTTTTCACGAAAGAACAGAACACATCGAATCGTGTATCCATTTCATTAGAGAACGTGTTCAAAGCAAAAAGGATTTGGTTATCCATCATGTTGCCGGTCCAAATAAGATAGCAAATATAATCAATACGAAAGGGCTCCGTTTTCCCTAGTTAATGTGTTCGCGCAAACAAGCTAATGCTACAAAACCCTAGCATGAGGTTGAGGGAGTTTCATCATTCAGCTTTTCTCTCTTCTTCTCTCTCACTTCATACAAGTTGAATGGATGAAGTGGAATAGTACATTGGGTTATTGTACGATTGTTGTATGCCACTAAAGCACAAGGAATTTTTTATAAAACTGTCAACAAGGTCAACAATGTTTTATGGTACGAATTGTTAGGCAGTCAAAAAGCAAAAACATGTGTGCAGTAGAGATGAGAATGCAGCTGTTGGATGTGTGGGCACATGAGAAATGATAGATTAAGAACTAGGGTATCCAAAGTAAAGTAGGAGTAGCTACAATTGAAGATAAGATGAGAGAAACATCGTTCAAGGTGGTTTGAACATGTGAACCAAAGATATACAGATACTCTGGTTAGAAGATACGACTATGAGAGGGAGACATAGGGCAAAAGGGCTAGATGAAGTCGAAACCTGATGAAGCCCCTTTCTATTATCAATGGTTCCTACAATGCCCGTTTCTTTATCACTCGATTTCGGGAGGCTCTCTTCCACTACTCTACCTTGTATGATGCGTTTGATATTAATATACCCCGTGACAACGAAGAGAGGTTGATGTTTGAGAGTGAGTTCTATGGTAGGGAAGCTATGAATGTAATAGCATGTGAGGGCGTAGAGAGGGTGGAGAGGCCGGAGACATACA